TCTTTTGACTCTGGGTTATCATCACCCCAGTGATGACCTAGTGTCAAAACATTTGGTTTTTACTTTTAAAATATTTTAGCCTGGTAAAAAGACCATTTTTAAACCTAACCAAATTTTATGGACATTCAGTAGCACTGTTGGATCAGATTCTCCCTGAAAATGACAAAATATGATTTTTTCTATTCACCTTCCTTTCTCAGCCTCATAAGTTTCACACATACTTCTTCCAGCTTTTCTTCAAGATCAGTGGTGGAGAGAGGAGAGGAAGGTAAAGAACCTGACAGGTAAGGTATACAGAGCTATTCAAAATTCAGTGTCTTGCTTTACACACTGTACCTGTATAAACAGCAAATTATATTCAAGCTGAAGTCAAATAGTGTCACTTCTCCATTCTGACACCCGAGTGATCAATCTTGAAAACAGTTATTCCATTTACATTACATGTATTATTAACACATACCAACTCAATACTACCTTTAATTAAAGCAGAGCCAAGTTTGGATTAATCTGCTCTGAAAAGTAAAATCTGTCATGACTGTTAAAAGCATTTCAGCGCATTCTATTTCCTGCTTAACAATTTTAATTCTGATTAAACCTTAGCCTCAGTGTTTGTTTTCACTCACCTTTCTCTCCCTGAATTTTCATAGTTTTCTGTCTTCCTTCCAGGTCTTTTTTCTGACCAGCACTGGGCAACACAACAGAGGGTGAACTACCTAAGGCCAAAAGTACACAGGACAATTTATGGTGTTACTCTTAATAGAGACATTATAAGATGTCAAACCAACATGACTGCAGTGTACAAAATTCATCTACATTACTTCACTGTCAGTTTTTTTAATATATAATTTAAGGTCTAGATTGAGAAAACTTACATTATTGTTATATAGTAGCTGTTTACCATCCCCAGCCTCTATCTTCTAAATTTTCCCTTAAAGCAAAGGACAGACTGAGGAAAACTAATAAGGTTTAATCTCCTTTCAAAAAAAATATTTGAGAAGACAAAGTATTTCAAAGCAGTCTTAGTTCAGTTGTGCCATGAAGGTTAATTTAACAGCATCTTTTACTCACCTTTCATACTTTGAAGTTTCATGAGTAGCTCTTCTAGTTCTTCTTCAGAGAGAGGCAAGATACCTAAAAGCAATGGTAGATGAAAAGAGAGATAAACATTCACTGACTTTTTATAGATAATAGTTAGAAAGAGGCAAACCAACTTGTATTTATGGATAAACTGCCTTTATGAACTATTAAACCAAAAAAGCTGTTCAAAACATCAATTTGATATACACGTATATACATTATACAAGTGTGTTGTTTTATTTCCACAAATTCAAGCCAACTCAAAAGAGAGTGAGGCACAATCACGTTTGCAATAATTCACATTGAAAAGCATTATCTGACTCTACATAATCACTTAAGAGCATTCTTGATTGACAAATATAACACTTACATTAAATAGTGAGGAAAACTAAATTGGGTTTAATTTCCTATCAAACAAAATATTTGAGAACTCAAAGTATTTCAAAGCAGTCTTAGTTTAGTTTTACCATGAACTGGTTAATTTAACAGCATCTTTTACTCACCTTTCCTTCTTTGAAGTTTCATAAGTAGCCCTTCTGGTTCTTCTTCAGAGAGAGGCAAGATGCCTAGAAGCAAAGGTATACAAGGAGAGAGATTACCATTCAGACTTTTCTACGGATAAATAGTTAGAAACAGACACAACAATTTGTTTCTATAGATACATTGCCTTTATGAACTATTGAACCAAAAAGTTCTTGAAAACATCAAAAGATTTGATATACATATGTATATAAATAATATATCATGTAACTTATATATATATATGTTGTTTCATTTCCACAAGGCAACACAAAATTCCCTTTTAACACAAGTAGAGAATGAGGTACATCACATTTGGAATAATTTACCTTGAAAAGTATTATCTGACTCTACATAACTGCTGAAGAGCATTCTTGCTTGGCAAAAATAAAAGTTACATTAATTAATAATTAATTATACTTAGATAACTGTGTAAATGTTAACTTCAGAGTCCTTTTGTCACTCACTTTTCTCTTCCTGAAGTTTCATAG